GAAATTAAATCATTGGACATGTAGAACGGTTTCTGCTCTTCTCCTATCATGAGGACTGTGAAGGTGTTTTGTTTCTTTTTTGATGCTTTAGGTTTCAATGCGCATGGATATTCCTGTATCTTCAGTTCTACTAACTAGGAACGGATGTACATGGAAACGGGGTTTGAGAAGAAATATATGAAATATATGGCTACCTTAAGTAGAATCGTAAAGCACAGTGTTATATGTACACAATTGTATTAAATCATTGTGTTGGATGCATTTGTATGGATGTACATGATCATTCATTTTATTCACTCATATTTTAAAAAATTCAGTTCATCTTCCCGGAAATGCTATGCCTCAAGGCGCAATTGGATTTAGTGTCTACTTGTTTATTCAGTTATCAAGATGTTGTAGGGGGGAATCTTTTACTTATCAGCATATAGGTAACTACACCATCATCTCTTGAATCACAGAGGAAGCAGAGGTTTTCTTATTTCCTTTTTCTGACCATGCTACTAGGCTGTCTCACTTAGATAATAGTGTAGTCATATAGTTTTCTAAAATGTCCTCAAGGCAAGATTTTTCTCACGGTTATTCTGGTTAGATGTGGTTAAATGACATAGCTAAAACATTTTACCTTTGACATTTTTGCTGTGTAATAATTGTTCTTGCTGGTTTCTTTCGTTGTTAGTTTATGTGCATTACACTTTCCCTAAGATATCTATTTTTTCTTTTTACTTCTTATTCAGAGATAATCTCGCGTCTTATGCGGCAGATTATCCAGTGCAATTCATCTTGGGTTACTGCTCAACATACATATTCATGCAGACATTTATGATTCCGGGAACAATTTTCATGTCATTACTGGCTGGCGCTTTATTCGGAGTAGTTAGAGGCATTTTCCTAGTTGTCTTCAATGCCACTGCTGGAGCATCTTCCTGCTTTTTCTTGTCTAAGTTGATTGGCAGGCCCTTAGTTAGTTGGTTGTGGCCTGACAAATTAAGATTTTTCCAGGCAGAGGTATTTCTTTCCTCATAACCTTCTTGAAACATGTTATTATAATTTTAATATGATTCATTTATTTTTTCAAGTATCTTTTTGGTGCTGTGTTAAGTTGCAAATTTTGAATTCAGATTGTGAAGCGTCGAGATAAGCTTCTGAATTACATGCTTTTCTTGAGGATTACACCCACGCTACCGAACCTTTTCATCAATTTGGCTTCTCCAATTGTTGACATACCATTTCATGTCTTCTTTCTAGCCACTTTGATCGGTCTCATTCCAGCATCTTATATCACTGTTAGAGTAAGTCTGACCTTCTCCATAGATGTTCTCAGTTGTCCTACAGTGCAATTTCTTTCCTTTATGTTTTCTCTTTTTTTTTCCCAAGCATTCTTTTGCGTGATATTCCTTTCTGTTCTGTTAAATTGTTGTTATTTTCCCGCTTTCCATCTTATTCCTCATTTCAAATGCATTTCTTTGTTTTTGCATATTTTATTGTTTAAAGACTTAAATTCCAGGCCCTAGGTGTTTTTTGATAAATGGTTGTCCTCTTTATTCTTGTGAGGATATTGAGTGACCTTATAGATATTTTCCTTCACATGTAAATTTTGTATACAGTTTGTATCTCCTTGGTGTTTGTGGATAGATGTTATTTTTTCTTTTAAAAAAAATGTTTGGAGACTTGAAATTGCTCAAATATCCTTCAAATGGCCTACAAGAAAGATTTTTTGACCTCTCTCATACTGTTCATTTCTTGTAAGCTTCTGATCTACTATACCCTTGCCCAAAGTTGTTGGTAATACCGGACTCGTTTTTGGAATGGGTACGACTATCTTGTCAATATATATCACTAATTTTAGAATTGTAGCATGTAATTCCACATATCACTATGTGGAGCAATGCATCTTGTAAAAATTTTCTATTTATATTGACCTTCCAAAATTCAGTACCTGATACTTAAGTATAGACATGATTGGCATGGCTGTCTGAATGGATTCTTTTAAATGAAGTTACTGATCACTTCTTTGCAAATTCACTCAAAGAACCAAGACAATCAGAAAAGGTCATTTGGCTTACAAGTCATCTGCAACTAATCCTTTGTTCTAAAAGAGGAGAGGGTAGTTACCTGGCCATGTAGACCCTAGACATGAGTATTATGGTCATTGCTTCATGAGATGCTGACCTATGCTTTTTGAGGTGGGAAATAGACAATATCAGAGTTTTTCTTGACTAGAGGATACAAACACGAAGATAGAACTCTGCAATTTTTTTTTGTGGGAAAGGTGGTGCTGATATACAAAACTTGAGTAGCGTTTGCTTGTGGCTTTGCCTCTTTGCTGTTTTGTTGATGCACAGTGGAATATTTTGAGAATCAAGAGTAAATTTGAATTGGAAATTAGGTTTGAAGGAACTTATTGACTCTCATAATTCTGAAATATTTGCTATAACTCGAGAATCCTCACTTTACGTTTGTATCATCAATATCTTTCTCGTTAAGGTGTAATATTCTCTTTTAATTCTGTAATAATTCTGTAACAATATTCATTTCATTCCATGACTAAGTCGCTGGTATATG